GGGGCGAGACCATGGTGGCCGGGAGGGGCGGAGCTCCGGCACGCGCCAGAGAGGGAAGCGGCAGCGCAGCCAATCGCTGCATCCTCGGCCCCGCCTCCCTCCAAGCCCCGCCCCGCCGTAGAGGCGAGAGGTGGGCGGGGCCGGCTCTGCGGGCGCGTGCGGCGGGCTTGCCTGGGCGTTCGTCCCCGCCCCCTTCCGGGCGCTGGCGGCTTCCTGAGAGCCGCTTTCTGACCGGGTACCCTTCCCCCTCCGGACCTTCTCAGGGCGTCGGACCCCGGGCCGCCACTGCCACCTCGACCCCCGCCGTGTCTGCCCATTCCTCGCCATGTCGGAGGAGCTCTCGGCGGCCACGGCCTACACGGAAGATGATTTCTATTGCCCCGTCTGTCAGGAGGTGTTCAAGACACCGGTGCGGACCGCGGCCTGTCAGCACGTGTGAGTGGACACCGCCTCCCCGCCGAGCTCCGCTCGGGCCTGGTCAGCCGCCCCGGAACCCCGAGTCCGTCCCCGCCGAGACTGTCACCGGCGTCCGGGCCTCTCGGGCCCGGCCCAGTCGAGAACGACGAGACTGTCGGTTCCCTGGCAACCCGGTGTGGCCGCGGCGTCGCCCGGCCGCCCGGCCTCGCCTTCAGGTCGTCTCTCCTCCCTCCCGTGCTCGGGGGTCTCGTCAGCCCCCCCCCCCGCCCCGAAACACCTGGTGCTCCGAAGTGAGCTTCCCCCCCGCTAGGTGCGCGCTGCCCGGATTTCGGGAGCTGGGGTGACGTCCCTTGCCTTGTGGTCCTCTCTTACTGCTGGGGTCGCAGGGGTGGAGGATGGGGTGTGGCCTGCACATGATGATTGCCTGCAGGGTTGACCAGCCGACCTGGCCCTGTTTAATTTGGCGTGGTTAGAAGAGCTTGGAAGGTGTTCTAGACTGCCCGGGTCGGCGGGCCTTGGAGGGAGACCTTGGTAAGGTATGCAGGCTCCAGCTTCCATCCAAACTTGGAAGCGTTCCTGGCAGGTGGGGCCTGGAAGTCTTATGTTTTTAAAAAGGGCAGTAGGGCTGGAAAGTTAGTACTTGAAACCAGCTGAAAACAAGTTTCTAGATACGTTTCGCCTTTCATTTTTTTAGTTTTAAATGATGGAACTCTAATTTTTGCTAAGAATGGGTAGCTGTCAGGTAAAGTAGTGCAGCTGTAACCCAGGTGCCCAGGACACTGAGGCAGGAAGATCTTGGATTTGAGGCTAGTCTGGCTAGTAAATTCCAGGAGTTCCAGGACCATCTGCACTATGTAGCACGGCCTTGCTCTAGAGAAAAAGAAAGGGGTCAGTAGAGTTTTGGTTTCTCAGTCTCAAGTCTTAAGTACAGATGGTTTTTATTTTTAGCTGTAGTCTTCAATCTTCTTCTTAATAATATAGTCACCAGTTCTATATTATTCCAGTCATGTAAGTTAGTCTGTTAACTTTTAATAATGAAATGTGTCAAGTTTTTTGCTCTTTTAAGAAAGATTTTTGGGACCGAAGGGATGGCTCAGCAGTTAAGAGCACTAGTTGCTCTTGCAGAGGATCCGGGTTTGATTCTCAGCACCCACCCTGTGGCTAACAACAACTGGTAACTCCAGTTCCAGGAGAGCTGATGCTCTCTTCTGACCTACAAGAGTGTTGCAGGACAGGGTGCACTTACATACATGCAGGAAATATATTCATACACATAAAATGGCATTAATAAATTTTTTTTTTAAAAAAAGCCTGATATTCCTTTACTTGGTGCAGCAGATTCAGGTTGCTTGAAAACTATTTTAAGATACCTAAGGTAAAATGTGTACCTTTTTTTTTTTCGTTTATCAGTATTACTATACTTTCCCTTTTGTTTTGTGCAGGTGTTGTTTGGTTTTCTTTTGACAGGGTCTCACCTTTAACACCTGATCTTCCTGCCTTCACCCTCCTAGGTGTGTGTGGGGGGGTGTGATTTTCCATGCCCAATTTGCCTCTCCTATATTTAAGAAAAAATGAGTTCTGTTCTGGCACTGAATGACAGGGCAGACAAGGTGAGAGAAGCTATGGCAGCTGCTGTGGATGTGCGCAGGTAGATTTCTGGCAAAATCATTCTGACTATGCTTTAGGGCCATTGACTCAGAGAACTCATTTTAATTTTTAGTTCTCAAAAGTCTGAGCACAAAATTACAGTCCACTTCCCTTGAGGTACATTCTAAACCAAGGACTATAATTTTTTGGCTGGACCCCAAGGTATAGAAAAGAGATGGAAGTTGTTGACTGTTTCCTAAACTCAGGACTTTCTTCAGATCAGAATAGCTCTCCACACTCTCTTTTCCCTACAGGTGCTTTTCCTAACAGTTCTGGCCCAAAAGTGAATCCGAAAGGAAGAGGGAGAAAAAAGGTTATGTGGATGGGAATGTAATGATGGGACAGGGTCTTGATAGGCTTGAAGGGATCAGTATAGTCATCAATTTTTAAAAAAAAATTAGACTCATTTTAAAGCACTATAGTTTTCTCTACCATCCCTTTTTCACAAAAGACATAACTATGCCTTTAAAATAGCTTATATTTTTCTGTAAAGTCAAAATTTAGTGAGGGAAGTGGCTGGGGATTGCGGCTTAGTGCCATACATAGGGTATACCTTAGCCCATCAAATCACTTTTTGATTCCTAGAGAGGGATGAGGATATGGACTTTGGGTCATGAGATATCTATTAGATAATAAGTTTTCATTGACAGGAAAGGAGCAAGTTCATTATTACAGTAACTGAGTGTTAATGAAAGAGATTTTAGGTAGCAAAACATACAATTACATGATAGCACTGACAGCAGGTGTCTAAATCAGGAGTGTGTGGGTGATTTCTTTGATGGAACTCTGGTCAGAATCTGTATTCTGGGTTGTTGGGGAATACTGGAGCACAGGTTCACCTCATATGGTGAGGCAAGGAGGAGTTCAGAGGATAGCTATCCTCACTTTAAAGTTTGGAGCCAAGGACATGTAATGGAGACGGAGCTCACATATATAGGTAGGAACTTAGGGGTAAGTCAATTTGAATGTTTTCTTAGAAACCAGAGACATAATAAATTTTTGGGGGCAGCATGGCAAGGTTTCAGTTTTAGAAAGTTCAGTGTCAGGTGGGCAACTGAGAGTAGTGATGTTGATGACATGTTAACATGTAAGGGAAGACAGTGATTAGAACCTAAGCTAAGGCAGTAGTGGGAAGGCAGATAATGGACTTCTCACAATTAATAACATTGTATGAAATTTGTTGATCGCATGTCCAATAGTTATATGTATATACTGTGCTTAGATCTGGAAAAAACAGGTAAAGTTGTAGTTGTGGATGTAGTCACCAAGGAAAGTACATACATAATTGAAAAAGAGCAGAGGTCCTAGATCGAGCCATATGCTGGAGAATACACATGTAACTAGTTAGTAAAGAAAAGTAGAGCCTGAGAAGGAATAGCCAGGACAGGAAGAAAGCTGGGAAAGAATTGAGCTTTGAATTGGAACAAAACCAGCAGTGTTGGCTACCCTAAGAGTGGCCAGATACAGTAACCTGAAACATGGAAAGACAGAAAAGCTGAGGAATATCCTTAGTTAAAAAAAAAAGCACTTACCCAAGCCCAAGTACTTACTAGCATGCCCAGATCCCTGGGTTCAGTCCTCAATACTACAAAAACTGCAAACAGAAACAAAGTAGGCTAGGCTTGGTGACACAGGCCTGAAATCCCAGCTACATGGGAGGCTGAGGCAAGAAGATTGAAAATTTCAAGACCAGGTGTGCTGGTGTGTGCCTTTAGTCCCACTAGTCCCAACACTGAGGAGGCAAAGGCAGGCAGATTTCTGTGAGATCTAGGCCAGCCTGGTCTACCTAGTGAGTTCCAGGCTACAGGAAGACCGTGTCTCAAAAGGACTTACTCTTGCCCCAAAGAAAATAAATTTCAAGTCTAGGTTCTATAACTTAGATTCTGTCTCAAAACAAAAGTCTAGAGGATATAGCTCAGTGTTAGCACATTTGACTAACCTATGTGAGGCCCTAGGTTCAATCCCCAGTACCACACAGAAAAGACAAGAATATTAAAATGTTGAGCCAGGCGTAGTGGCACATGTCCATGAAACAGCCTGGGAGGTAAGGTAGGAGGACTGCCATGAGTTTGTGGCCAGCTTGGGCTATGTGGAAGACTGTTCCTTAAAAGGAAAAAAAAAAAATAGGAAATTATTAAAATAATGTTCAGGAGAAATTTCAGAGTGGCCTTTTGGTAAGGCTATCTCTTACTTTGTAACTTTTTTTTTTTTGGAGACAGGGTCTCCCTGGAGGTCCAGATGATCTGGAATTCGCTATGTAGATCAGGTTGATCTCGGTAGATTTGCCTGCCTCTGTTTCCCGAGTTCTGGGATTAAAGCATGTACCGCCACTCCTGGCCTAAACTCTATATAGCCGAGGCTGACCTTGAACTCTTGATTCTGCTTTCTCCTGCTTTCACCTCCTAAATACTGGGATTATAGGCATGTGCCACCACACCAAGCTGCTGCCTTTTTTTTTTAAGATGAAGTTCCACATGTAGCTTTAGCTGGCTTGGAATCACTATGTAGATCAGGCTGGTCTACTTTACCTCCTGAGTGGTAGAATTAACAGGTGTTTACCACCACGCCCCAGTTCCTTCCTGAAGTCTTAAAATGTAAATATAAACCATATTTGCTTTTTGTCATCCCTGTAACTGGGCATATTTCTTAAACTGATTTTTTGTGTGTGCCAGAGCGCAGGGTGAAGGTCAGATGTTGTTTTAGGAGTTGTTTTTCTCTTTCCAGTTGGTTTTCTCTTTCCACTGTGTAGGTCCAGTAGATCAGACTCAGGTTGTCAGGCTTGATGCAAAGGGCCTTTTCCTGCTGAGCCATCTTGCTGGCCCGAGGGAGTGTACCCCTGTGCCTGGCTTCCATTTATGTTTCTTAAAATTTTAGCTGTATCTTACCACTTGTAGCTGTACTCTTAACGTCCTTCCTTCTTACCTCCCCCTTCCTTCCTTTCTCCCTTCTTCTTGTCTATCTTTTCTGTTTTATGTAGCTGTGGTTGGCTTGAAGCTCATGATTCTTCTGTCTCAGATTCTGAAGTTGTAGAATTATAGGCCTATGCTACCATGTCCAGTTTCTAAATACATTTTAAATTTTCTTTCCTACCGACTTCTTTATTAGAATTTTGAAAGCTAGGCTAATCTGTGTTCTTACTGACTGCTGTGAACTAGCTTCTTATGATTTTTTTTTTTTTTTTTTTTTTTTTTTTTTTTTTGTGTGTGTGTGTGTGTGTGTGTGTGTGTGTGTGTGTTTGAGACAGGCTCTCCCTGTTCCCCACAGATCAATCCCCCAGCCTCTCTAAAGTACCGGGACTAAAGGCATGTGCCACCACGCCCGGCACTTCTTACAATTTTTTAAAAATGTACTTAATATTCTTTGACAGTTTCTCTCTCTCTCTCTCTCTCTCACACACACACACACACACACACACACACACACACACACACACAATGTATTTTGTTCATTTTATCCCCCATTACCCTCTCATTTCCCTCCCACTTTCTGGTGTGACACATTGCTCTCAGTTGGACTGTTTTTTCCTTCATGTCCTGTATCCACAAATTGAATGTGTTTTTTCTGTCTCAGCTAAGTACTTAAGCATTATGGCCATAACTTTGAAGTTTGAATGTGATAGCACAAGTGTCTTTTTCCTTTTGTCTTTTTTGGGGGGAGGGCAGGAATAGGGTCTCACTGTAGTCCAAGATGGCCTGGAACTGATAGCAATCTTGCTTCGGCTTTGCAAATGCTGAGATTACTTGATGTGCCACCAGCCCCAGCCTGTGGTCTTTCCTTCCTCCCCTGGCCCCTTTTCTCTCTCCTCTTTTCATTTATTTACTGGGGGGGGGGGGGGGGGGGGGAGCTACAGCCCATGTTTGGAAGTCGGAGGACAACTTACTAGTCAGTTTTCTCCTTTTCACTTAATGGGTCTTGGGGATCTAGCTCAGGTACTTGGCAGCAAGTGCTGTTCTTTACCTGTTGAGCCGACCCTGGAACAGCTTCTTGACATGTGTATCAGCTTGAGGCAAAAACTGATGTGGTCCATCCTTTCATTTTTGTAAGGAGTAAGTAGGATGTGGAGATCAGTGTGGTTAGGTATGATGTTTCACAGAACTTCTAAATGGGAGAACATAAAGCTGTTACTTAGAATTTTTCATATATGTTGTGTTTAAAATTGTAAAATGAAAGCTGGGCTTGGTGGCTCATGCCTGTAATCCTAGCACTTGGTAAGCTGAAACAGGAGGATTGCCACAAGTTTGAGTCAGAGCGTGAGTCTCAGAGTGAGACACTTTCTCAAAAAAACCCCAAAATTAAAAGTTGTCAAATGGGCCTGGAGAGATGGCTCAGCGATTAACAGCACTGGCTGCTCTTGCAGAGGACCTGGGTTTGGTTCCCAGCACCCACATGGCTGCTAACAACTGTCTATAGTTCCAGTTCCAGGGGAACCGACGACCCCCTTCTGATATCTGTGGACATTGCATACATATCTGCAGGCAATACACTCATACACATAAAATAAAAATAATAAATAAAACATTGTAAAACGTTAAGTGGACTTGAGTATAGTTTGATTTTGTTCCTCCCTAATCCAGGTATTAGGCTCATTGCCTGAGACATACAGTTTTTTTTTTTTTTTTTTTTGGTCTTTTTGAGATAGGGTCTCCCTGTAGCCCTAGCTGACCTGGAACTCGCTATGTAGACCAGGCTGGCCTTGAACTGACAGCTCCACCTTCCTCTGCCTCCCGAGTGCTGGGATCAAAGGCATGCACCGCTACACCTGGCTGAGATAACAATTTTTAAATTTGTACATTTGAATAACCCAACTTATTTAGCATACTTACATATCCATAATTGTTTTTATTTAATTATGAGAATGAAAAGAGTAATTTTCTTAACTGACGTCATAAATGTCTGGTTTAGTTTCTGTAGAAAATGTTTCCTGACTGCAATGAGAGAAAGTGGAATACATTGTCCCCTATGTCGTGGAAATGTGAGTAGAAGAGAAAGAGCATATCCGGAACGGGCCTTAGATCTTGAAAATATCATGAGGAAGCTTTCTGGTAGCTGCAGATGCTGTGCAAAAAAGGTAGAGTGACATAGTTTTTCTGTCATGTTTTTTTTTTTTCCCCCATAGTTTTTCAGTCACTAAACTAACATTGTTTGAATTCTCTTGATGAGCATGGTTTTGAAAAGAATGACATTTCAAGGCTTTATAGTGCCCACCTGTAATCCCATCACTCAGGAGGCTGAGACAGGAGGATTAAAAGTTCAAGGCCAGCTGGGGCTACAAATTGATGCAGTCTTAAAAAACCGAATTAAATAAAAAAAAATAAGATGTTAGTTAGGTTGAGAGTTAGGTAGGAAAGACCAAAAGGTCTACCTACAGATGTTAACCAGATTATAAGCTTATTTTTTAAAGTTTTAATCTTATTTACTCTATTTTAATCTTAACTAAAAGATAAAATCTCGAAATTCATCAAGATATTTGATACAGTATTTTTCTAATGTAATTTCTTATAGTTCTTAAATTAACTAGATGAATGTAATAGCTCATTTACTTAATTATAGTACAGATTGAACTCTTAGTTGTTTTTTTTCCCTGTAGCATCATCATTGCAAGTTTGCATGCACAAATGTTAATAGTTTAGCCAAATGGATTTATATAGTTAGAGAATTCTGTAGCTGCCCACTTTACTTTTGTATTTAAGAAATCACAGAGTAGGGCTGGAGAGATGGCTCAGTGGTTAAGAACACTGGATGTTTTTACAGAAGACCTGGTTTTGAATCCCGGCACCCACATGGCAGTTAACAGCTAGCTGTACATAACTCCAGTTCCAGAGGATCTGACAGCCTCTTCTGTCCTTCTCGGGCATTGCACGGCACGGGTGCACTTACCTACATGCAGGCAATACACGCATATACATAAAAAAAATAATAATAATAAAATATTTTAAAAAAAAGTCACAAAGTAGTGCTGGGCATGGTGACACATGCCTTTAGTCCCAGCACTCAGGAGGCAGAGGCAGGCAGATCTCTGTGAGTTTGAGGCCAGCCTGGTCTACATAGCGAGTTCCAGGCCTCCTAGGGCTGCAGGAAGACCCTGTCTCAAAAAAGACCAAAAAAAGAAAAAAGAAAAAAAGAAGACTGGAATTGATTTAAGAAACACACAGGAAAATCAGGTGTTGGGTGTTGGTAAACAACGAACATGCTCTATTTGAAGAAGGGGTGAACTGATGAGGAATGGTTAAGCCTTGGGTCTATCCATGTGTCTGTAGATTTTATTGTAAATATTTTTTCTAAAGGTAATAAAATCATTGAGCAAACCAGTTGCTATTTCATACATTTACAGAAGTTAGATTTGCTTTTCCATCTGCTTCTAGTTTTCTTTTCTTTTGCTGAAATAAACATTATGACCAAAAACAGCTTGGGGAGGAAAGGGTTTATTTCATCTTACACTTTCAGGTCACAGTCTGCCACTGAGGGAAATGAGGTAGAAACTCAAGGCAAGGAACCTGGAGGCAGGAACTAAAGTTTACTAGCTTTCTCCTAGGCTTACAGTCAAGATTCCTTTCTTATACAGCACAGACCTACCTGTCCAAGGATGGCACTACCCACAACCAGCTGGGTCCTTCTACATCAGTTAGCAATCAAGAAAATGCCTCACAAAAATGCCCATAGGCCAGTGTGTTTGTTGTAGGAAATCCTTCAATTTGAGGTTCCATTTTCCCACTTAACAGCCAAGATTAGCCACTGCACATTTCTGAGGAAGGTGTTGAACTGTAAGGGCTATGAAGTCAAGCTGGAAAGCCCACTTCAGGGATTCTGGCCTCACTTTTCAGTGAGAAATTGAAAAATATTCCAGGTATTAACCCAGAAACTTCATTTTTTAAATTTCAATCTGCTTTCTAAGTCTGTTAGGTTGTAATAGCTAAATAAAAGGCACAGCAGCATGAAGCACCTCTTATTACTCTTTATTTTGCTTTTGTTTTTTTGATACAGGGTATCAGGTAGCTACCCGAGTGGGGCCTTGAACTTGCTATGTAGCTGAGGGTAACCTTGAACCCTCGATTTTTCTGTCTGCATCTGCTAAATGCTGAGGTTATAAGCATGCCACTATGCTTGGCTTTTTTGCTTTAGCATTACCATTTCAAATGTTAAATGATTTAATGTTTTCTCAATGAATTTAGCTGGACTCTATTCCATTGTCTCTGTCTAATGGCCAAAAATGCATTACCTATCTTAAAGTTCTACTTGAGGAGTAAATGATTTTCTTTTTATAAAGCAGCTTAAATGTTTGTTTTGCTTTTATTTAATTTTTGAGCATGAGACTCACTATGTAGCTCTAACTGACCTGGAACTTGCTATGTAGGACCAGGCTGGCCTCAAATTCACAGAGATCTGCCTGCCTTTGCCTCCCAAGTGCTGGGATTAGTGGTATGAGCCACCACGCCTAGTATCTTTTTTTTCTCATATTGACAGCTATCTTACGTGTTTTATTTTTAATAAAAATCATATTTTAACTAATAATTTACAGATTAAATTCTATCGCATGAGACATCATTACAAATCTTGTAAGAAGTATCAGGATGAATATGGTGTTTCTTCTTCTGTCATTCCAAACTTTAAGATTTCTCAAGATTCAATAGGAAACAGGTAAGCAACATTTATTCCTAAAAACAAAATTTTAATAATTGAAGTAATTGAGGAACTATATGGTGTATAGAATTTGTCTCAAATTTATTTGGCACAAATGATGTACCTAGGAGATCAGCTTCACGATGAACTTCAGCTTTTATGTTGCTTAAAATCTTTTTTTTTTTTTTTTTTTTTAATTTTTTTTTTTTTTTTTTTTCCTGTTTGAGACAAGGTCTCCCTGTAGTCCCAGCTGTCCTGGAACTCACTAGGTAGACCAGGCTGGCCTTGAACTCACAGAGATTTGCCTTCTGCCTCCCAAGTGCTGGGACTAAAAGGCCTGCGCCACCACGCCTGGTCTTAAAATCTTTGTGTGAGTCCGCTTTTATTTGCACAAAAATTAGACTTGGGGGTTGAAGACGCTTGTTTCTCACTGATTTTACAAATGAAGTGATTTGAAAACTAGAGAAAATTACTTTCTGTAATGTATTTGAATACTGGAATTTTTTTTTCATTACTACCATGGAATAGGTATAGAATTATTTGAAATTTTTCTTCTGATAATGAATAAAAAGATTGAGAATTAGTACTCCCAAATTCTCCTATTTTAGCTTTAATTAAAAACAACTTTTGGAGGCTGGAGAGATGGCTCAGCGGTTAAGAATGCTGGTTCTTACAGAAGACCCAGATTCAAATCCCAGCACCCACATGGCAGCTAACGGTCCATAACTCCAGTTCCAGGGGATCCGACAGTCTCTTCTGTCCTCCGTGGGCATTGTATGACATGGGTGCACTTACCTACATACAGGCAACACACACATACACATAAAATAAAAATAATAAAAATATTTAAAAAAATACTTAAGTATTTTATGTGTCTGAGTATATTGCCTGCATGTATGTAAGTGTACCTGTGTTGTGCAGTGCCCACAGAGGTCAGAAGAGGGCTTTGGATCCCTGGAGCTGGAGTTATGAATGGTTGTTAGCTGCTATTTGGGTGTTGGGATTCAAACCTGGGTCCTCTGTAAGAGCAGCCAGTGGTCTTAATCATTGAGCCATCTCTCCAACCATATATGTTATTTAATTTTGAAAATTAATGATAAGACTGCACGTGGTAGTGCATGCCTTTACTCCCGGCACTTGGGAAGCAGAGGCAGAGGCAGATGGATTTCTGTGAGTTCAAGGACAGCTGGAACTACAGGGAGACCCTGTCTCAAAAAGAGCAAAAAAAGAAAGAAAATTAATGATAAACATGCATATAAACTGTAAAGAAATGAACTTTCTTACTCCTACACTAACTCATAGAAATCAGTGTATTAAACAGCAAATAAATTTTGAGACACTTCATGTTGCTAATATTTAGTAATTTAATACCATTAAGCATTGTAGTCATCCATAGTTGTCCTGTTGCATTTCGACTTTTTTTTTTTAATTGAAAAAGACTAGCCGGGTGTGGTGGCACACACCTTTAGTCCCAGCACTTGTGAGGCAGAGGCAGGCAGATCTCTGTGAGTTTGAGGCCAGCCTGGTATACATAGTGAGTTCCAGACCAGCTGGGGCTACAGGGAGACCCTGTCTCAAAAAGGACAAAAAAATAAATTAAATAAAAAAGCACTAAACTTTATTGACAAACTGCGGCAGACATTTTGACCTAAGTTCAAGCTACCTATTTAGGCAGACTTACACATGTTGCATTTAATCTTCAAGAACAAAATGAGAGGATAGTTGGTACAAAACTATTTAGGACTTTTAACTTATATACAAACTGCATTTTGATTCCTTTTTCATTCAACTACAGTGTCCCTTTTTATATCCTGCTAGAGTGTTGAAACATACTTGACTGACTACCTTGGGAACAGTTCAAAATCGACATAGTTAACTTAATAAAAATCCTCAGCTTTTGGCCCCAGTGTCCAAATGAGTTTCATGGAATATAGACTCTCAGATGGACAGAATACTTTTGACGTTTTAAGTACTGAAAAGTTAATTATTAGTATTATTCTTGAAAACATTGTGGCTAAAAAGAAAACCAAACACTACTACATCAAGTTCAATTTAGGTGGCCCGCTTCCCCCACTCCAATTTTTTTGATGCCTGGTCTACAAAATTCTTTTAGGTTCCCGTTTTACTTTACTGTGAGTAGGATAAATTTATTACTCATCTATTTTTTTTTTCTTCTTCCTAAAACCGAATCCCCTTGAATTCTTTCATCCCTGAGCTTTTCAATTGTACTTCACTGTGTTGTAATTACTCATCTATTTGTCTTTGGCCCAATACAGAGTTTTCTTAATATGGGATAGTGTTTTGTTAGCTTTATTCAACATTGTGTCCTTAAGCTCTCAGCAAAGTTCATAGAGTTACAACATACACAGTCACTGTTTGTGGGTGTTATTGTTTGTTTTGTTTTGATATTTTGAGACAGTCTCACTGTATAGTCCTGGCTGGCTTGGAAATTGCTATGTATACTAGCCTGGCCTCAAACTTGTGATGATTCCACTGCCTCTGCCTCCTGAGTGTTGGTATTAAAGGAGTTCATTCACTGTGTCCTGTACTGCTTTTTAGACAACCACATTTTTCTGAGGAGACAGGCCTTGTTCATTTGACTCCTTAGATTCATTTCATCACGTACTATTTAGTCCTAATTAAAATACTTATCTGTGCCAGATGTGGTGGTGCCCAGTACTCTGGAATCAGAGGCTGGTGGATCTCTGTGTGTTCAAGGCCAGCCAGTGCTGTATAATGACACTGTCTCAAAAAACAAAAACAACCAAAAACTTACCTGTATTTTTCTATCATTACCATTTCCTTAGTTCCATCCTTCATAGTTCCCTAAATTACATTCGTCTTTAGTTGATGGTACTCTAATCAGTCTAATAGGGGATACTGTAATTTGCTCTTGGCAAAGCAATATTTATTTATTTAGGGTCTCTGTAACTCCACTTGGCCTGGAATTTGCTATATAGACCAGACTGGCCTCATTCTCACAGAGATCTACCTGCCTCTGCCACTGAGTGCTGGGATCAAAGTTGTGTACCACCATTGCCTGCTGGATAGCAAAGTACTATTAAAAAAGTGCATTTCTGATCTCTCTTTTTGTACCTCTCTCCTTTCCCCTGTCAGTGGCTTCCCATGGACCCATAGCATTTTTTATCCTTCATGTCATTAACCAAACAAGGGCTCTGTGAAATCCTTTAAGCTGCCTGCTTCTGCCTCCCCAGTGCTGGGCTTATAGGTGTGCCTTACTGAACTTGGCTTTTTACATGGCTGTTGGGGATCGAGACTCAGGTCCTCATGCATTGTGTGCGTACTTTACCATCTTCCTACATCCATCCTTGCTGTTTTGAAAGGTATTTAACTTAGTTCTTAATGATGAAGGCTTAGCTGGATATGATGGCACGTGCCTGTGATCTAATACTTAGGCGGCTGAAGCAGAGGATTGCTGTGGGTTCAAGGTCAGTTAAAGCTATATGAGTTCAAGGCCAACTTAGAATACATAATGAAATTCTGCATCCAACCATAAATTAAAAAAATAAAATAAGAAAATAAAAATTATAGATCTAGGCTTGATGGTCTAGACTGCTCAGGAGGCCTAGCAAGGGAGAGTCACAAGTTCAAGGCCCATTTGGGCTTTCAAGGCCAGACTTGAGTCAAAGTAAAAGAATTATGAAAGCACAGGGAATTGGGGGTAGAGGGCTTGCCTAGTAGCATGTGTAATGCCCTAGATTAGATCTCCATCCAGTACTTCCAAAATGAATGAATGAATGAGCAGAGGAATGTATTCATGTACGCATACAAGCTAGATTAGATTCAAGAGTGCTTGGGCTCAAAGCAGCTCTTACTATGTGACTTCATCAAGAATCTATGCCTTAAGTTTCCCATCTGTTAGAAGGTGGAGTTGAAAGTTAGTGAAATGTGTTAGATGGGTAAGGTAAACTGAACAGCATTTTGCCTGGTGTTATTCTCATCACTCCTTCACCTCCGTCATACATGGTGCTCCTTCTCCTTATCACCCCAGCCCATACATTGCTAGCCGGTGGGCTGTTTCTTCTTTTAAATTTTTACTTAATTTATTTTGTGTGTGAATGTGTATGTGTGTGTATGTCAATATAGGTCCTTGTCCTTGTGTCAAGGTCAGAAGATTGCTCTCAGGAGTGAGTGTTCACCTGTCACATTTTGGGATCTGGGATTGAACTCAGGTCTTCAGGCCTGTGTGGCAATCTCCTCTACCTGCTGAGCTATCTCACTGATCCTTTTTCTTCTTCTTTTAAAGACTTAGACCATGCCGGGCGTCGTGGCGCATGCCTTTAATCCCAGCACCTGGGAGGCAGAGGCAGGTGGATCTCTGTGAGTTCAAGGCCAGCCTGGTCTACATAGTGAGTTCCAGGACAGCTGGGGCTACAGGGAGACCCTGTCTCAAAAAAACCAAAAAAAAAAAAAAAAAAAAAAAGGCTTAGACCAAATGTTAGCTATCCTATGAAATCTTTCATGATCTCTAGAATTTCTTCCTGTTGATAGAACTGTACTTTATATTCCAGTTAGGCCCTGTAGACTTGTTTACTACTGTATTTCCTTATCTAGAGAATGGATTTTTTAATATTATTAACAAAATTAATTATTTTTATTTCATGTGTATGAGTGTTTTGCCTGCATGTATGTAAGTACACCATGTGCATGCAGATTGCCCCCACAGAGGCCAGAAGAGGGTATAGGATCCTATTTAGGATTACAGATGGATGGTTGTTAGCTGCCATGTGGGTGCCGAGAATTGAACCCGGGTCCTCTGGAAGAGCAGCAAGTATTCTTAACTGCTGAGCCATTTCTCCAGCCCCTTTAATATTATATTTATAGCTTATGTAAGGTTATAATTACAGTAGAAGTCTTAAACTGAATTTTCATTAAGGAAATGGCCAAAGGAAAGAAAGGTAGGATTTTTAAATTTTGTTTATTTTGCAGTGCTTGGGGATCAAATTCAGGGACCCAGGGCTTTACATATTGTAGGCAAGCACAGCACAGTACCACATCCTTAGATCAACTCTGGATAGTCCTGCTCTAGCCTTCTTTTGAATGATGGGAATTTATAGGTATCACCATGCCTGACAGGAGAAATGTTTTTTTGATAAAAAAAGAGAAAGACATACTAGGTAGTCTAAAACACACATCAAGGTAGGTAATAGTGTATGTTCCCTTTAATTTGAGGAGAATTTAGTGACGTAACTATTTGCAGTGAGTAACAGTTTATTATGAAAGGAAAAAAGATGTTCCCCTGGATGAAAGTGAGCACACCAGCAGAAAGAAGCTCTAGAGCCTGTAGGGCCTTGCTCTATAAAATTGACAGCACTGATGAAGTTCTCTGGCCTAGCAGTTACTGTATGGAATGTCCCTTCCCTTCTGATTCTAGTAGTCCATACAACACTGACTTTCAGGCTTAGGGAACAAGTAAATACATCAAGTAAATACTATTTCCATATGTTGGTGAAATGTGTTAATAAAATTGAGCTTAGGAAAAGAGCTTCTTTCCTTAGGAGTAAATTGTAAGTATAAAAAATTCAGGTAGTTTCTGAAACCTGCTCCACTTTGGAAGCCATGACCTTAAATCATATCCTGGCTACATGACAAAAAGGGTCACAAAATTTCTGTTCATCTCAGGGTTTAAAAATTTGGCAAGGAACAGGTATGAAAGCATACACCTATAATCCCATCACTCAGGAGGATGAAGCAGGAGAATTGGAGCTTGAAGCCAGCCTGGACTACATTTTCAGGCCTTGTCTTAGCCCTCAGTTCTCCTTTCACCTCCATAAAAGAACCTTACTGGTAGAGGGAAAAGATTTTAGGTAGTTTTAGACTTCTGTGTTTTCTGATTGACACTTTTGTACCTGAATATTGTTTTGTTTGGGCTTTTTAAAAAAATTTCTTTTTATGTGTGTGTTTTGCCTGCATGTATGTAAGCACGACCATGTTATACAGTGTCTGTAGAGGCTAGAAAGGCATCAGAGACCTGGAATTGGAGTCACGGATGTTTGGTTGCTCACTGCCATGTGGGTGCTGGGAACTGAACCCAGTCCTCTGCAAGAGCAGCCAGTGCTAGTGCTCTTAACCGCAGAACCATCTCCGCAGCCCCTTTGCCATTGTTGTTTTTGAGACAGATCTTGATTTATATCCCAGACTGGCTTCAAACCTATGATCCTCCTGCCTTAGCCTCCTGCAACCATTATTTTTAAAGACATGAGTGAATGAGAACATCTTAGTCTTTTCTTTTTTTTTAAAAAAAATATTTATTGTTTTCACTTTCTGTGTATGAGTCTATTGCACCAGTGTCAGGCAGTGCCTGAGGAGGTCAGAAGAGAGCATTGGGTTCCCCTAGAGCTGGACTTACGGACAGTTGTTAGCCGCCAAATGGGTGCTGGGAATCGAACCCAGGTCCTCTGCAAGAGTAGCCAGTGTTCTTAAACCACTGAACCATCTTTAGCCCAATGCTCTTTTTTTTTCAATCTTATTGAGACAGGGTCTCTGTGTAGGCCTAGCTGGCCTGAAACTTGCTGTGTAGACCAGGCTGGCCTCAAACTCCCAGACATTCACCTGCCTCTGCCTCCCCAGTGCTGGAATTAAAGGCATGCACCACCATGCCCAGCCCAATAGTCTTTTCTTAATTGGCTTGAAAAACAATGCCATAATTATTTTATATTTCAAGACTATTTTAAGTGCAGACTTCAGAGCAAAAGTAGGCTTGTCTTCTTCCCTAAAGAATTCACGGTGTGGGACTGAAGAGATGGCTCAGCAGGTAAGAACACTGGTTGTTCTTGCAGAAGACCTGGGTTCAAACCCCAGCACCCACATGACAGCGAACAACTGTCCATAACTCCAGTTCCAGGGGATCCCGGCATGCTCTTCTGTCCTCCAAAGACATTGCATGACACAGGCGCACTAACACACATGCAAGCAATACACTCATACACTTAAAAATTTAAAGGGGATCCCGGGCATTACATGACCCGGGTGCACTTAACTACATGCAGGCAATACATGAATACACATTAAAAAAAAAAAAGTTTAAAAAAAAAAAGAATTCATATTAATGAAGCCCTACTGTGTTTTTTAAATCTGGGATATTAATTTTTTCCCCCTGTGCTTAAGTAATAGGAGCGAAACATCTACATCTGATAGCACAGAAGCTTATCAAGAGAATACAAGGTAAACTTTACAAATTCTTCACTTTAGTAAATATTGCTATTAAATAATATAGAGGATTGTTTATTATTTATTAACCTGGGATTTAACCTGGGGCTGAGCATGTTAGGCATTCACTCTACCACTGAACTATATTCTGACTCTCTGTGATCATTTTTTTTTCATTTTTGAGGCGGGGTTTTGCTGTGGTAGCCCAGTCTGAGTAGCCTCCAGAAGTGCTCAGGATTACAGGCATGTAAGGTCCAACAGTAGATTAGTTCATTATTAGATGATGGTGATGGGAGACAGTGTTTTACTATGTAACCTTGCTTGGGTGGGAACTCCCTATGTATGTAGACCAGGCTTCTACTTCCTGATTACTAGGATTAAAGGCATATGTCTATTTAAAAAAAATATTTTTACATTGATTGATTGGTGGATTATGTGTGTATGGGAGCATACATGCTGTGGTGGACATGTGGAGGTCAGAACAACCTGTAGGAGTTGGTTCTCTCCTACCTTGTGGACCCGGGAATTAAACTCAGGTCGTCAGGTTTGGAAATGCCTTTACCTCCTGAGCCATCTTGCCAGTTAGTTGATTTTTAAAATAGACTTTTATTGAGTTAAATCACTTAACCCTAGTGCCAGAAATTAATACTGCAGAAATAAACAATGTGGTTGTTCTTTTAAAGAACATAATAGAAAAACTTGTCTGTTCTCTTTGGCTGTGGTCATATTTCTGACATATGATTCAGGCAAAGGTGTCAATATCAAACTGTCCCTTGCTGAGATTCAGAGGTATTAAAACTAGTGGTACTTGAGTCTTAGAATGCTTTGACGTACTTCATTCTTGTTATCTTGTTATTCTTGTTATCTTGCTTTTTTGCTTTTCCTATGAATTTTGTGTGTTAGGTTCTTAATCTGCAGTAGATTAAAGTTACAGTTTGATTAAAGTCTTTGTGTATTTTGTCTTCAGGGAGAGGGGTGCATACCACTGTGCACATATGGAGGTCAGAGAACTAACTCTCAGTGAGTTCTGGGGATTGAACTCAGGTCATCCAGTTTGGTGGCAGGCACCTTTACCTGCTGAGCCATCTTGTTGACCCATGGAAGTCTTTATAAAGGTTTATATTCCTAAATAGGAACTTTCCAAAATATGATACACTATAGAGTATTTAGAAGTTAGAATGGATACAGTGACTTCTCTTGGCATCACATAAATGATAACAATTAAATTTGGGCCTAACTTCTTAAAAATAGGGCTAGGATTTTTGTTTTGTTTGTTGTTTGTTTGGAGATGGGTTTCATTATGTAGACCAGGCTGGTCTTGAACTCATGCTCTCTCTGCCTGAGTGCTGAGATTACAGGCGTGCACCAACATACATAGCCTTGTTTTTGTTTTGCTTGGGGCTGGGCAGGCAACATGAATAAAATTGACTGAAATGCTACTATTGTAAATTATAGTTACTTGAGAGAATTTCTAGTCTAAATAATTTATAAATAATCTAATAATTACAACTGTTTAAAAACCAGGAATCTATAATTCTGGGTCAAAAAATTGTATCATTTTAATTTTAATGATTTCAAATTTAAGTATATCTCATTTAAATTGTTTTGTAGTTCTTCTGGACATCCCACCTTTAAGTGTCCCTTATGTCAAGAGTCAAATTTCACCAGACAGCGTTTATTGGATCACTGTAACAGTAACCACCTATTTCAGATGGTTCCTGTGGTAAGTTAATTGAATTCAATTTTGAATTAAACCATGTCACAGCTCCATTTTTTTCGCTTCAGATACTCAAAAGGGAAGGTGGTTTTATATTCTCAACGCAGTATATTTTTGCTAAAAGTGACTGACTAATGAAAACAGACATTTACATAAAAAGGAAGGTGGTTATTGTGAGGTAACATAGGACAGTCTAGAGAAGTTAGGAAAGATGAACTGGGGAGCACTGCTGCATAGCAGCAGAACTGGCTCTGTGGGGTCCTTTGAGTTTCTCACTTTTGGGTGCAGATCCTGTCAGTGGATCTGCCTTAGGCCAGAGTACCTATGAATAGGAATAAAACAAGTATGCATTTTTAATTGTACCCTTCAAGAGTCTCTTACATGAATTCGTAGTACAGGAAAGAAAAGAATCCTGCTTTGTTTTTGATGCCATTTTTAGGATGAGTTGTGTAGAGTGCTAGTTCCCATGTTGTGTAAATAAATGGTCCCAGAAGAACTCATTTTAAACATGTATTACTCAGATACGTGAATTAACTCTGGACTGTGGAAGAGGAGACACTGAGCTGGAAGATACTTTGAACTGTCTTCTCCACCCATTGCCCAGTACTGGGGATTGAACTGTATTCCCTGTTCATACCTGGCAAGCACCTGCCACTGAGCTGTATCCCCTACCTCTTTTGTAATGTGAGACAGGGTCTCTCTTATACTGCATTATCTTTTATCTAAGGTACTTTGGCTTTTAGAAATAGATTGTATAAGCTGGGCATGATGGCTCTTACCTGCAGTCTCAGCACTTGGGAAGCTGAGGCAGAAGGGATCACAAGTTCAAGGCCAGCCTGGGCTACATAATGAGACCTTGTTTCATTCTTCCCCTGATGTCCCCCATCCAATACTTTTCATGTACAGGCATACCTTGGCGATTTGTAGGTTTGACTTTGGATTACCATAATAAAGCAAATAACTATTAATTGAGCCACATTTTCTTTCTTTCTTTCCCTGATTCTCAGTGCATATAAAAATTATACTGTAGTTTATAAGTGGGCAATAATACTACATCCAAAAAAAAAGTATATTATCTGAGTTAAATATGTCATTGCTAAACAATGTTAGTGATCATTTGAGCTGTTAGAACAGTGATGCCAAATAGACTTGCTTGATACCAGGTTGGCATAAACTTTGAATTTTTAAAGATATTTAATATTTACAAAATGCAGTAAAATGAAACAATAAAAGTATACCTGATGTTTTCAGTAACATGAGCTTGTATTTTAGTACTCGCAATAATTATATAATGTATTGTTACTTTTGTTACTTTTTAATTTAAAACAATCTGTTTTTCATAGACATGTCCTATTTGTGTGTCTCTTCCTTGGGGAGATCCTAGCCAGATAACTAGAAATTTTGTTAGTCATCTAAATCAAAGACACCAGTTTGATTATGGAGAATTTGTGGTAAGTGAATTCTTCAAGTTAAAGAAAGTTAAATTAACTTTTTCAATAAGGATTTGAGTTTTCAGGCAAGTTGTACTGCTTAAATGCAGAGGACATTGTTTTGTTTTTAGTAGTAATATTGTTAAACTATGGAAGTTACTGAGAGAATCGGATTTACCATCTATATTAAAGAGATAATTTATAGAAGAGCAAAATGAAGGATTGAGTAGAAACTGTCTAGAATTAAGAGAAAATTACTCTATGTGCTAGAAAATTAAAGTTGGTCACAGTGTATTTGGGGTGCGTTTCTCATGCCTTGCTCATACGTGAGGCACATTGAAAATTTCAGCCAAAGAAACCCATCCAAAACTAGGTCTGCTCAGCATGGGGAGCAAGGGGGCACAGAGAGCCAGTCAGGCCAAAAATGGAGGGTTAATTTCCACTTCAAAAATGTCAGTGATTTTTAAATCAGGTGACGACTTCTGCTTTTTTAATTTTAGAATTCCATTTTTAACTTCTATGTAGTTAAGACCTTATTTAATACAAGATTAATCCTTAAAAGAATGACTGATACATGTGTTCCAGTTCAGGTAAACACAGGCATGCGTAATTTTCACAATGGCATAAAATTTACATTTTCTTCTCTCCAATGTTGAAATTACATCCTTGATAAATTTTTAATATTTTTATGAAACATACATTTTTTTAATGGATAATTGTGGATTATTATTATTACTACATTCTCATTTTGAGAAAGGTTATTGTGGGGCTGGAGAGATGGCTCCACAATTGAGTGCTTACTGTGCTTCTAGAGGACCCTAGTTCAGTTCCCAGCATCTATGCAGGGTGCTCACAACTCCCTGTAATTCAGTTTCAGGGGATCTGATGCCCTCCTCTGGCTTCTGTAGCCACCTGCACATGTGCACATACCTCCCCACCCCCACATATATACACACATAAAAATAAAATCTTAAATTTTTTTTCTTTAAAGAAAGGTTACTGTGTTTTGTCAAACTGTTTTTAAAAAATTAATTTTACCTGCCATGGAAAACAATATAATTTTAATTGAAATTATCACATCACAAGTCTTGCTGTATTTTAAAGAAATATAGGTCATAAACCTGTTAGCAAATAATGTTTCCAAAGAAAGTAGGTTTTGTTGCTGGCACTGTTTTGCTATTGGGTTTACTGTTTATGTACTAAAGATCGAACCCAGGGCCCTGGTGCGTTCTGAGCAGAAGGTGTACCACTGAGCTAAACCTCTAGTCATGGAGCTGTTTTATAATTGCAGAATGAGTAGCCCTTAATTTCCTATTGTGCGTAGGGGATTTGCTCAACTTTTTTATTCAGTAAACGCTTATTTCTCTTAAAATTAGTTTGTCTTCAAAATTTGGCCTTTCCTAGAAATTTATCACTTACTATAGGTTATAATAAGTATAATTTTGGTTAGTATAAATTTCAATTGCTGAACAATTCTTTATTATTAAATATAGCTAAGCTTAATTTTTAAAGTTAATGTGTTTAAATCCTGTTATATTTAAACTTTGTTACATTGTTTTTATTTATTTTTGGTCTTTTCGAGACAGGGTCTCCCTCTAATCCCAGCTAGCCTGGAACTCACTATGGAGAACAGGCTGGCTTGGAACTCAAAGAGATCTGCCTGCCCCTGCCTCCTGAGTGCTGGGATTAAAGGCTTGTAACACCACTCCCAGCCCTGTTACATTATTTTTTAAGATGGGGTCTCACTATCTTCATGTTAGTCTCAGATCTTTGGGCTCAAGGTATCCTCCTGCCTCAGATTCCTTAGTAAATGAGAATACAGGCACACACTATAGTGCCCGGCTTTATCTTGCAGTTTAGAGAACATTGTACATAAACTATGTGTGCAAATGTTTATCAAGATGCATACTGCATTAGATACAACACTGAATATTTTCCTGTTGACATGATAATGTTGTGGGGGGGGGCTTTGTTTTGTTTTTTTAGAACCTTCAGCTAGATGAGGAAACCCAATATCAAACTGCTGTCGAAGAATCGTTTCAACTAAACATCTGAAGTGTGTGAACATCTCTGCATCTATGTGCCTGCAAGTGCCATCTTTAAGGGGAAGACAACATGAAGTCACCATTTCAGTAATTTGATGTGCATATTAATAAAAGTAATAATTCAGTCTGTTGCATTAGGTTTTTAATTGAAAAATAATGGTGACCACCATAACTTCCATCCTCTTGATAAGTTAGAAAAGTTAGGATATTACTTTAAGAGCATAAAAAGGATATTTCACTTATGTGGTGAGAAGGAAATCTCTGCTGTCCTTCATCTTTTTATGCTTTACATTCTGATTGTTTCATTATGTTGCTTTTGACTTAGATGCAGCCCCTTCTATTTACTTTATTGCAAACAGGTAACACAGTAGTAAATTCTGAAAGATGTGGTTCTTAGGACTATAATAAATCTGAGCCATTTGTCCGAGTTGCAGAATGGAGACTTGAAGGGCTAAGTGGGTAATCCAAAGGAATTTTTAAAACTCAGATTATAGCTGAAGAATTCAACTATAAGGAAATTGTATTTATATAATGTTTAGTATTTTTGAAAACTAGTGAAATTTCTTTAATAATTTTAACCTTGAAAGCGCATTGTAAAGATTCTTCTTCTTTCGCTAGTAGAAGGATATATCAAGAGAGAAAAATTTTCTTTGGTAGTCAGTTGGTTATTTCAATCTTAAGTAATCTGTAAGCCTAAAATAAGTTGTACAACAGTTCTTTGGCTTCAGAAATTTTTGTAGCCAATTTTTATTATTATCCGATGAAACGTTCTTTCAGTTGGTGATATTTGTATTACACTTAAATGAGTTTAAAAAATCCAAAGCTGAAGATACATGTATGCATATATATACATGCATTTTTGTATGTATACAAACACATATGTATCTTTGCCTACAGTTGTCAGGTTATACATAGAATTTCTATTCAGAGTTTTAATAATGGATAAGCAATATAGAATTGAAGTGTTTATCTGATTTAAAATTTTGCATATCACCAAATTTTTTAAACAGCCAAATGCTATGTGGTATAGTTGGCTGTAATTACACCCTAAAAATTGTGTTTACACACACAATTACCTGTTATGTGGTGCTCATTTGTTGTTTTCAAAAATAATGCGTGATTGATGTAACTTCACCAGCCACTGTGTGTCAAAGCTGTGTTTGTTCTTCGTGTTCAGCAGTGGGAACATGAAGTGCTGTATAGGAAGCTGAGTCAGAGAAGAAAGGGCAAAGAGTGAATTCGCTGACATTCCATACTAACATATGATGTTATGCTTTCTTAAACTCAAAAGAAAATCTCAGAAGTAGTTTGCTGCTAATATATACATCTATTGTATTGAAAAGGTATATTTTGATTTTCTTAATACCCTTGTTGACTTTTCTACAGTGAATATTTTTTAACTTGGTTTAATAAAAATGTTAATTTTGAAAGTAGAGTTTTGTAAAAGCCTGTTTCAGTTGAACAGTAATGACTTTATTTATAAAATAATTTAGTAATACAGCCAAACACAAGAAGCCATCCATCTTAATTTAATGACCTTGTTCTGTTATTTGCTGTGCTCTTAAGCACTTTCTCTGCAGTTAGCATACATGAGTGTAAATTTAGGAATCTGTATAATGAGCTCTTAAAAAAAGAGACTTTTGCCCATAGTTTTTCCAGTTTAAAGCAATAACTTTAGTACCTTCTTTCAAAGTTTAATTTGTCCAGTGTTAAAGTGTTTTGGGATTTGCAGACATCTTTAAAGGATTGTAGTAGAGGTCATCTTGAAATTGTGTTTGGAAGCTTTGTGGATGAGATAAATATTAATAGTCTTGTGTGTCATACATAGAAGCTTTTTCATATTTTTAATTTTTATTTTCTTGCCTTTCTCTGGGAATTCCAAGATCGAAATGACTTTTAAATTCCTCCTTTTGTCAGTAGATTAGGAATAGGGATAGACTTTACAATTTAAAAAAAGTCTTACCAGGGTATGGTGGCACACTCTTAGTCCCAGTATTCCAAAGGCAGAAGCATTTGGATCTCTGAGTTCAAGGCCAGCCTGGTCTCCATATGGAGTTTCTAGGCCAACCAGGGCTATATATTGAGACTTTGTCTAAACAAAAAAGCCCCTATTTTAATGTTGTTTGTATCTGTGTGATAAAGGAGGGAAGTTATAATAATATCCTGATTCTAAATTTCACAGTACCAGTTAGGAAAGCTGTTTCTTCTGATAATTTGTGTTGTTAAATACAGGGTCTTATTTGAGATGTATTGCTTTATTTTTCAATTAAAAGTGGTTTTTTCCTACTTGTGTGTCTAATTAAACTTTTGTCCCATAGTAGCCTGCAAGACACGCAGGAGATTTTCCATGATCTGCACTTTAAAGTGGATAGGCCACTATATGCCAGTAGTGCATATGTTGCATTTAACTTTAGAACACTTTTTTTTAATGTATCAAATGTTAAGAATTTGCATAAAGCTATTTTATTACGTGTTCATATAGCAAGATATTTTGAATCCTGTTAACTGTCAGGCAGGAAGTGCTTTGGCCAGCTTACACTTTTAATTTGGAGAAATTGCTTCTGAGATAGGTCTGTAAGTATTTTGCAATATACAGTGTCATACATGTGTTTGGTTGCTTGGTACGTTACCTGTAGTGAACCATGCCTTCTATAGAAATCACTTAGGTTTACTATTGAAATAGCTCTTTTCAAAGGATCAGTGTTTTAACCCATATAGACATGGTATGACCTAGAAATTTGTAAATACATGCCATGTGGCGTTCATGATGGAAATAGAGCACCCTTCCATGCCACCGCTTGTTCTGTAGCTTTAATTCTGTAGAACAGGTTTAGGGAAAGAAGAATGGAGATAAAGCATATTAAAGGGCCATATATTAGAGAGTAAAGGGGGATAGGCTGTTGGGTGAAGGTGCTTGTCACCAAGCTTGATCTGAGTTCTTTTCCCATGGTGGAATGAGAGAACCAACTCCTGCAAATTGTCCTCTGACCTCCACACAGGCACTCTGGCATGCACCCACTCCCCAAGTACACACACATACACATACACATATACTTCAAAGTTAAAAGGGACACAAGGGCCTTGGGAAAATAGACTTGAGAGGGAGGCAGCCATTTACTGTCCTCACTTGTGAAATGAAGATAAATGGGTGGATTCTGTTCCCCACTGAGTGCATCAAAGTGCAGTGTAAGTTCTGTATTAAATTTTGGGATGCTCTTTGTTCTGGGATTGAAGCACATGCTCTTCTGGTAAGCTACACTTCCAACCCCTGAATAAGGAATCCTTAAGAGTATGATGAATCAAGTGTGTTGACTCATGCCTATAAGCACAGTACTGTGGAAGCTGAGGCTAGAGGACAGCTGCTAGTTCAAGACTAGCCTGAGCTACACAATAGGATTTCAACCCTTTTTCCTCCCCTCCCCAAGTGTATGATAATGAGATTTGGTGGGCAAGGTGCTACATGTCTGTAATCCCAGCACTGGGGAGGTAGAAGCAGGAGGATCACAAGTTGGGGCTAAGTTGGAGGCTAGCCTGTTGAGGAAACCTTGTCTTTTTTAAAAAAAAAAAAAAAAGTGTCAGCACTTGGGAGGCAGAGGCAAGAGGATCAGGAGTTTGAATCCAGTATGGACTCTTAAAAAATGGTCTTGGGGCTGGAGATGGCTCAGCAGTTCAAGAACACTAAGAACACTGACAGTTCTTGCAGAGAACTGGGGTTTGGTTTCCAGCACCCACATGGCAGTAACTACCCTTCCTAACCCAAGTTCTAGGGGATCTCACCCTCTTCTGGCATCTGGGTGGGGGCATTGCACACATGTGTACACTTTACTTACATTTAGGTAAAACACTCAGACATAGGAAAATAAAAATTTTAGAATGAGAGATGGCTCAGCAGTTAAGAGCACTGGCTGCTCTTGCAGAGGACCTGACTTCAGTTTCTAGTACCCACATGGTGGCTAACAACTATCCATAACTCCAGTTCCAGGGGATCCAATGCCCTCTTTTGGCCTTTAGGGACCTTACCTGTCAGGGGTGCCCTTACATACAAGCAAGCAAAATATTCATATGCATAAACTAAAATATTTAACTGATCTTGGTGCCTGCCTATAATTGCAATACTTGGGAAGTAGAGGCAGGAGTTCCAAGGCCAGCTTCATCTATCTCAGACAAAAAAAGATGGGGCTGGAGAGAGAGCTCAGTGGTAAAGAGCACTAACTGCTCTTGCAGAGGACCTCGGTTTGTTTCCCAGCACCCACATGGCAGCTAACAATTGGAACTCCAGTTCGAGGGGACCCAACACCCTCTTCTGACATGCCCAGGCATTCATACCTACATGTATGCAATACACCCATACACATTAAATAAAAATATATTTTTTAAAAAAGATGTGTGGGGCCGGAGCGATGGCTCAGCAGGTAAGAGCACTGACTGTTCTTGGAGAGGACCCGGGTTTGATTCCCAGCACCCACTTGGCAGCTACAAATTGTCCTTAACTCCAGTTCCAGGGGAATCCGAAGCCCTCTTCTGACCTCCGCAGCATTGCACGACACAGGTGCACTCACATACATGCAGGCAATAAATAAAATAAAAAGGTGTGTGAAGTTTAAGATGAGCAAGCCTCAATGAGTGAGTGTGGATACAGGCACGTGATGAGATGAATTAACACCTGTTCTGTGGGGGCCGTGAAGAGGGGAAGTACAGGATATGAGGGAGGAAATTTCAGGTCTGTCAGTGAACAGTAGTGGACATGATTCAGAACAAGCAAAAAGGAGTGACTAGTGCTCACATGGTGCAGATGTTTCTCTACGTCTGCCAGTAGTGACTTGGCTGGGTGGGTGACAGGGCTTGCTCTAGTAGAAGCCCAGGGTAGCCTGGAACTTGAATTTTGTCTCAGCCTCCCAAGTGCTAGAATTACAGGATTGTGCCACAATAGCTGAAGTGTCGGTATTTGTGGACATTGTATTGCAAACTGGTCTCTGTATTAGCTTTGGGATGCTATATGTAGTGAAAAACTGAAAACTAGCTTGCCTTAACACTAAGCAGCTGAGGAATGAGATGCACACAGTCTTACACTGCCCTGGTGTTGCTTGCCTGACCATTTCCATCAGCCATGTTTTATGGGTCCCCCCCCAATGTATTCAGTTATTAGAATGTTTAGGTGTGTGTAATGTGAGCATGGGCCCGAGAGTGATGTGGTATGTGTGTGGAGAACAAGTGCTTTTACCAGCTGAGCCATCTCACTGTCCTTAATGTCTTTCGGCCACTTTGTAGGTGTGCTTTCTGTCTCCCCCCTCTCATTTCCTGAATTTTTTGACATATTTAATAAAGTTGAATAATTCTAATCACATAAAGGTTGCAGAGCAAACTATTAGCCTCACCCGACCTCAGTGGTCTGTTTCAGCTGTTATTTTGGCATTTTGATAAGTCCATGTTTGGATCCTCTGTTCTCTGTCTTGCTGTCCCCACCCCCAGTATTTCCTCTTCACATCATGGCTGCTCTCATACCCCTGTCCCTTAAGGCCTCTTTCTCCCTCTAGACTCCTTTCCAGTTTCCAGGTACTCACAGTCACTTCCACATAAGCACACACAGAAAAGTCAGAAATTAAGATCCATGCGTGAGGTGGACCTTAACAACATGCAGTGCTCTTTTCTGAGCCGGGGTCTGGGATTTTTCACCAGGCCTGTGTTTTGAGCAGCCAGGGCTGTGGTCCCACAGGTTTTGGTAGAAAGTTGACAGACTTCTCAAGCATGGGATTGAGAAGCTAGTTCCCCAAGCTTGGATGCACTTTGACAGTCTTGTTTCAAGATGGCCCCAAGTCATAGCAGCACAGCTATTGAGGCCTACTCTGGCGATACAGCCGCATGGCCTAAGGCATCTCCCTGCACTGTGTGAGGCCTGTGCTGGGAATGACTGGGTTTTCCAGCTGAGCTCTAACCCATGTCTGTGGGCACTGAACCCACCTGGGTGGGGAAGAGTGCTCTTTGTGTGGTGCTGTCCTGTTTGCATGCGACCCGCATCTCACCACTTCTGCTCATGTACTTCCTCAGTTGCTCCTGTTGCAATATACTCGTTCATTCTTGGATGCAGCCCCTTTTTACATGTATGTGTGAAATGAGTGATTTTGTGATGTCACACTAAGTAGCTGATTTTTAATTGTATTTATTTTTGAGGTACTGGAGATTGAACCCAGGGTCTTATAAATACTAGGCAAGCACTCTACCACTTAGCCACATCTCCAGCGGTAAGCTATTTTATCTGTGTGTGTGTGTGTGTGTGTGCACATATGAGTGCCACGGCATGCATGTGGAGGTAGAGGATACTGTCACGTGTTGCTCCTTCTAGCTTGTTGAGGCTAGGATGCAGGGTGTCTGCTGTTTGCTACTTCCTGTTATAGATGCACCCAACTGCATCTGGCTTTTATGCGGGTTCTGGAGATTCAAACACAGGTCCTCATCTTTGTATAGTAAGGTGCCTCCCTCACCTCCTCACTGATCCATCTTCCCACTCTATTTTCAATTTTTCTTCCTTGGCCTTGAACCCAGGACCTCATGCGTGCTGAGCATGTGCCATATCATTGAGCAGTACACTTCTGCCCCAAGCCTCATGCATAGGCAGCTCTACCAACTGAATGTTTACCTCCAGCCCCAGATAGGTGATTTTTAAGAATTCTATGAATCTATTCACAATGCTGAGTTAATTACCCTGCTTCTTAATCTCCAATTTAGATGCAGTTAAACCTTATTTCTGCGGGATGTTACTACTTTGTAGTTAACACTTGCTGTTATGTGACTAGCTTGATGTTCTTTAAGGCTCTTGAAGTTGTCCAGGAATGATCCCTTTTTGAGCTTATTTGAGAGCGTATATTATTAGGATGAGAGAAAATAGGGCCCTCTTCCTCTTTCCTCTCCGTTTGGCACTCAACATGTATTTCAATAGTTCCTTGGAGATAGCACTGCCAGTAGGTTCAGCCCAGTTCCAAGGACAGGTGGTCTGCAAAAAAAGGTATAGGGTTGCTTTAGAAGTAGTCATTTTGAGGACTGGGGATGTAGCTTAGTTGTTTGCCTAGCATGCTCAAGGTCCTGGGTTGATCCTCCGCACCATACAAAACTAAGTGTGGTGGTTCATGCCAGCATTCAGGAAGTTGGACATGTGAGGACAAAGAGTTCAAGGTCATCTGTGGCTACAAAATGAGTTTGAGGCTGACCTTTGCTACATACCCTGTCTCAAAAAACCCCCAAACAACAAAAAGAACTAGTAATTTTGAAACAGGAGAACTGTATTAAAGAGC